CCCGCCCATGGGGTAAGATGAGCAACGTGCAAGATGATTTTTGACGTAGCCTTTCAGTACAAAAATAAGCGGTATGAAACATTTCTGGCCACCATTACATGCGCAAATCACCACTCTGTCCGTCCAACCCGTAAACGCAGAAAAATGATCAGTAAGTTAGCCTGTAGCTTACGAAAAACAAAAGCGGCTCAACTTACCTCATTCTTCCCTACGTTACACAATTGAGGGCATTTTTTTAGGCCATCACAGTATTTGTCAACAATTGTTGTTTGGGGGGGCTGGGGAGGGTGGTTACTGGCTCATAAACTGTCCCCCCCCCCCAAATAAAAGAAAACGAAACCGATAATTCGCGAAAACAACTATTGAGCTCGAACCAAGGTGACGAACCGATTTATAGGTATGCACGATGACTAACGATGCCACTTTTTGACTTCTTGTGTCAAATAAATTCCATTACCTGGATAGCACGTCAACATTCTATTTGACATTTTACAACAAACGTATACTATTTGGCGCGACTAGCCTCATAAATGTTCTGAAACTAAAACCGTTTCTTCGCAATTAACTTGGACCACGTCATCCCAGCTCATGCACGACAAAACTAAAATAATGCTTCAGGATCACTGGCCTGAATTCGAATGCTTAAAGTTTACTCAAAACCGGTGTGGCTGAGGCACTCTTCGCTACATCTCGTGACGGCCACCATTGTGTTGCATTTTTCGGTAAGCTATAAGTTAATAAGGAAAGGATTGCTGAGTGGGTTGAAAATAGCCCCCCTCCACCCCCCTCCTTCTTCTGGAAACATAAGTAATCGAAAGATCTGGCGATGGTTTATCCACCTCTTCTGCCGCCGCGCTGCGAGGCCTCGATTCGTTCGGTATGTGGCTTCCTGAGCGGTCCTCCCCGGAGGCAAGGTGAAAGGTCATGGGCTGTATCAGAAATTTATACGTTGCTGAATATGTTTTATAGTTCTTCCAAGGCCTTGGACACCGTTTTATTATATCGGATAAACATTGCACTTTCTTGTCAATCAATACATTTAAAGAAAACTTGATCATAATCTTATACTGCGGCAATTGTAGTTTTGCTTACGGTTGCCTCTTTATGATACGGGCCACCACCACCTCCACTGCGCTGGAGCTCAGGCGTTCTACCCCTCCCCGCTACGGACCGGCCCTCGGGCTAGGTGTGTTAGTACTGAGCGCAAACCTGTAGTAGTCACGTGACTTTCATTCACGTAGCGGGAACGGAAGCTATAGGCGATACCAAGGACGGGCTCTGGGGAGGCAACCGGCGCGGAAAAATAGCACGATTGTAGTTTTGGAAGAATATCTGTTGCGGTAAGAGGAATTATACAAAACATACGTGCTAGGAGCAAACATGTGTTATTCCTTTATGCTTTGCGCTACATTTCCTTTCTCCAATGGCCAGCACTTAGCAAATAATAGCGCAATTCTAAATTGGTAATATATGTGTACAGTAGCAACTGCGGGTCCCTGTACCAGTGTCACGCTCTTTACAGTTGATACCGCGGGATAAGTCCAACAATTGGCAGTGATAGCATCGGCGCCATTCACGAGGGCGGGAATGATGCAACACCGGAAATCAATAATTTGAATTCATAATTCTAGGTAAAAACTTCTGCTTTCCTTTTCGGCCGCAGAAGCCATACTTTTACGTTGGTAAGGACGGCACGGTGGAAATGGCGTTTGGGAATTGGTAGAGCACCTTGTGTGGATACCTACTGAGGTTGTCCTATGGCAGAAGTTGCCCGGTGGTTAAAGCTGTCCGGTGGTTGGGTGTCAGGTGGTATAAGCTCGGTATATTGGCTGTTCGTTGGTGGAAGCTTTCTGTTGGTTGAGCTGACTGTCGAGTGTCGACAGCTCTCCGTCTGTCGATAGAGTTGTCTGTCGACAGCTCTCCGTCTGTCGATGATAGAGCTGTCTGTCGACAGCTCTCCGTCTGTCGTCTGTTGTCTGTCGACAGCTCTCTGTCTGTGGAGTGTGGATAGAGTTGTCTGTCGACAGCTCTCCGTCTGTTGATAGAGCTGTCTGCCGACAGGTCTCCGTCTGTCTATAGAGTTGTCCGTCGACAGCTCTCCGTCTGTTGATAGAGTTGTCTGTCGACAGGTCTCCGTCTGTTGATAGAAAATAGATCGGTTTACTTTTGGTGGTGTATGCTCAATGTAAATGAATCGTTGGTAGAGGCTATAGAGCTGTTCCGTTTGTACATTTACCCGCGGCTGGCTCAAAACGCTTAAAACATATAAGCAAAACACGGGAGGGGCAGATCCTCCTCTCCCTATACCAGCTTGGCACGTGGCACATGTTTAATATAGTGTGACCATGGATGAAGGAGGGTGACTGTCTGTGCGGACGGGACAAGGCGGGCTGCACAGTGGCGCGACCTGCACCTCACACACAGGAGGGCCGCTGACGGGAGCGCCATCTAACAGCTGCTGTGTCGGTCAGAGAGTGGCACGGACACGGTAACGAAGTCGGCACCATACATGTGACTGGATCCGAGAAAATGGATCTGGGATCTGATCCCACGGATCGGTCTCGGATGCGACGGGATCATATATCCAGATCTTTAATTTAACGAGAGATCCATAGGGATCATGGATCCAAGTTTTTTTTGCTTGATATCCAGTGAGATCATAAGTCCTCGTTTACTTTTTGTCAACGGAGAAATCACCCCAAAATCACTTGTTGCAACTCAAAAACGTTCTGTCTTAGTGATTGTATGTGATTGTACGTCCCAATCCATAGTTTTGTGGCACTTATTGACATAGAAACACTTGAAAACCTGGTTTCAAATGTTGTGAATGGTGGGATCCACTCAGATCATAGATCAATGTTCATGGTTTATCTTCAGATCCAAATCATAGATCCAGGGTTTTTCACACTGGATCCGGTGGGATCATTGATCCTAACCTGCACTTTGCTTCGAGATCGACTGAGATCATAGATCCATCACTTAGATCCATGCAAACGCACATGTCTGCATTCCACTAATTGTTTGTTTTACGTTTAAGAAGTTAGATGAGAGGAGATGCGCTTGAAAAAAAAAACGTTTGCACATTTGTGATGTAAGGCTAGAAGATAAGATAGATTCGAAAAAAGGTTCTTAGAATAGAGTAAATTAGACTAGAAAAATTAGAGTTGTAGGTATCATGCATAAGCCAAAGTGACGTATTCAAAATTTGTGAAGTTAATTTATTGACCTTGGGGAAAAATTTATCACGGCAAATGTAAAAGCGGAAAGCTCACCATTTTTGGACCGATGAGGTTAAATATTTAAAGGTAAGATCATCGGTAGACGGTAACAGTTCTTTTATGCCTATATGATCTGTTTTTTTTTTCTCGGAAAGTCAGAAACTTTTCATTCCGTGTTGATCATCATCATCATCATCATGCACTCCATTTATGTATTAGTGACTTCAATGCACAAAACCGTCATGGATAAGAGGCACTGAACAATGAACAATACACTGGAATCCCATTATGTTATCTTTTTGCTCTTTTGCTCATCACATATGACTTGCCTCTCCATAGGCGTCGCCAGAGATTTTCGGTTGGGGGGAGGGGCGAAATAAACTTTTGTATGAAATATTGCCTTTCCCCAGTCATTACTCACTCGTTTTACATATCATGGGGCGCGCGATGGTGCGAGGAATCCGATGGTGACAAAGTTTTCCTGTTAGCTATGACATGTAATTTTTTACGTTTTGTTCACTATAGAGTGTGAACAAAAAGTTTCGCGTTTTTCGTGTGAAGGAAGCGCTGCAAACGCGAACAAAAAAATGTTTAACGGAACCAAAAGTTACGCACGGCATAGCGGCAAGGCATCCCTTAAAGATAGGCTTGGGACTTCCAGGCCACTTCAGGTCACTCAGGGTCAGTGTGGACTCTCAGAAGCCTGCTTAGGATCCCGGAGATCGGCGTGGGTTACTCAAAATATTTACGTGTGTGTGGTGCTTTAGGGCTTTCCGAGCCCAAGGTAGGGCCTTCAGAAGCCAGTGTGGGCGGCGGGCGCTAAGAGACTGGGCCGGGGGCCCAGGGTGAGCCTAGAGCCCTCGGATAACAGTGTGAACCGTCAGTGGGTCTGTGTCAAATTGCTTGGGGTTCCGGGTTAGCAAAATCTGTCGCCTCAAAAGTTCGGCTGAACTATCAGAGGCTGCAGTTAAGGCTCTCAGAAATTTTCGAAGGCATCCTCAAAGATTCGTGTGGCCCTTCAGAGGTCTACGTCAATAAGGTTTTTCAAAGATCCCTGTATGGGCCCTCAGAGTACATGAACACCAGTGGGACTCTCAGAGTCCGGTTTGGGCCCTCTGAAAGCTTCTTAGAGCTCAGTGGAGCTCCTTAGGAGCCTGTATGAAGAGCAGGCTCATGAGCCCTGCGGGACTTGAACGGTACTTGAGTCTGTCGCAGACATTTGATGAGAATTGACATTGAGAAATGCCCCGAAGATTTCGTGTCAAGCTTTGAACGAAAATTGTGTGTCAGCACTCCAAAGCTTATGAAAATCAGCTATAAAATGTAATAAAGTCTCAACTAGGAACATGTAATGAATCACAGCATTGACATTTCCGAGTCTGGAGTCGGAGTCTTGAAGATTTTGGCGACTGCGACTCTGACTCTGGTTTGAACTGCACGCTTTAACCGAGTCTAACGTCACAGGAATTCTAAAAAAAGTACCCCCATTTTTCCCGACTCCAAAATATCATCGGAACTGTATCGATCTCAGGGGGTGCCCGGTCCGAGGTTGGGGGGTAAGCTGCCCCGCTTGCCCCCCTCCCGTGGTGACGCTAATGGCCTGCTCGCATGTGAGAGGTATTCCTCCAAAGATGACCTGTCATTCTTGGAACGGCCCTTCCCTTACCTCCCATGTTCCGGCTCACTGTTCACAAACCTATAACGGCCGGCGCACGGTGGGCTCGGCGGCTCGATCAGTTTGAGAGCCCCTGACAATGACTGGGCGGATGGTCAATACACCGTGCCAACACCGTGCGGCGAGGGGTGGCGGTGCGGGAGCGAGACATGACAGTCGGAATCTGACGCTGGCACCCGCGGAACACTGCACTGGTCCTCTCAGAAGAAGTCATGTTCCTGTGGCTGGTGGTCGCCGTCGTCGCCGTGGTCATCTGGGCATGGAAGTCAATGACCCGCCCCTCTTGGTGCCCTCAAGGTCAGTAAACAAACACGGTCTCCTCGACTCTCAAGTGACTGGGTGTGTCGGCACGCTCGGCTGTCCAAAGCTCTGACGTCATCGGTCCGTCATGTGACGCCAGAGCGGCTAAGAATTATAATGAAAATGTTGTTAAAGGGACCCTCCCACCTTCAAAAAAGTTTATGAATTGGCATGAAAGTGATGTCGCTCGGTTCAGAAAGAGCGAAAACGAATATCTACCAAATTTCACCGAAAAATATTCACCGGTTTTCAAGATATTAGACTTTTACTTTTGTTTACTTTTTTGGGATCACCGCTGTTTCTAGCGACTTTATTTTAGAAGTGCGGCGTTTGCGGCAGATGTTGCGCGCAAATAGCATATACCACCGCGTGCTACAAAACGTTTTAGTCAAACATTTAAAAATCGTTAGATATTTGCGCTGACGTCACACATTCAGAGGGGTATTCCTAAGCATTAGCCCCTCTGAATCAAAATGCTGCAATTTTGAAATTCAATATTTCCGATTTAAGGCATTTCTCGATGTTGTGAGTGCCGAAACCGGTAATTGTGAGCCAGGGACCCTATTTTGGCTATCTCAACTCAAATCTAATGTTAAGGTGGGAGGGTCCCTTTAATATTATGACTGTGAAAACAAAAATGTGACGCTTTCTTGCCTACCGTGAAGCCGGCATTTCGATGACAGGGATCGTTTTTGTGTTCCATCAAGGCTACACTCCGAACACGATTTACCTTTCGGCTAGGCCGTAATCGCGTCTTTTCCCGACCCGAATGGCCAATAAGCTGACTTTTGACAGCCCATTTCACCTGCGACTAGTTCACGAGCCCATTGTTGAAATCCAGTTGTTCGCCATTGCTGGTCACTTTTTTTCGTGTGTTCCGTACTTGCCTGCGGGCTGTGGTCAGGTAGATTATCACATAAATCATCACAAAAATATGGCACGTATATGCACTATGCAGTAACAATTTCAATGAAATAACTAGCAAAGTTAAAATCTGTTAATCATCAATTTGCTAATTAAAAACTAATTTGTTGATTAGGTAGTTATATTACCTATGCCCTTTTGGGATGGTGAATGGCCTGAATTTAGGCTAGCGCTATTTCTTCGGCATGAAAAGTCTGACTGTACAAACAAAAAGATAAACGTGTAGGTAGCAATAACTGCAGTGAGCCAATAATTGCACGTGTAGTTACCCAATAACTGCACTAAATGTTTTTCTTTTTCTTTGAAGAACCGCATTTCTTCGGGTGAAGACAGGTTAAGAGTGTTATGCGTTCTGGGTGAGACTTTACAGATACATATTTCACGTTACATCTCGCATTCCCAGGGCCACCGCTGCTGCCGTGGATCGGAAACGCACTCTCTCTGGATCCCGCTGCGCCCGAAGCCAAGTACGCCGAGTGGGCCGAGCAGTACGGCTCCATGTACTACGTGAAGCTGGGGGCGGTCGAGCAGGTGGTGCTCACCGACCCGGCCCTCATACGGGAGGCGTTCTCTCGGCCAGAGATCTCCGGCCGGCCCGACACGGCCTCAATGGTCCTAATCAACAACAATAATGGCCTGGTGATGTCCGAGGGCGAGCTCTGGAGGGAAACGCGACGCTTCACCCTGCACCATCTGCGCAACTTCGGCATGGGCAAGTCCCAGCTGGAGGGCTATATTCAACAGCAGATTGCTGGGTTCTGCGAGGAGATCCTGAAGCCCGGCTGTGGCAAGGAGATCAGTCTGGAAAGCTCTCTGAACGTGGCCATCGTGAACATCATTTGGAACCTGGTGGCGTCCGAAGAACTCGGCATCACTGACGAGAAAATCAAGAGCGTCATCAATCGCATCAACCGGCTGAACCTGAGCACCGACGGCTTGCAGGCGTTTGCGGTGCTGGACCTGGCCCCGTGGGTCCAGAAGGTGACACCGGACTGGCTGATAAACCGCGAGCGGTTCGAGAAGGAGTTCGCCGACATCATGAAGGAGGGTTTCCTGCCGGCGCTGCAGCGCCACCGCGACTCGTTCGACCCGGGCAGCGAGCCCCGCGACTACATGGACGCCATGCTGCTGGAGCAGCACCGGCGCCCCGAGCTGATGACTGACCACCACCTGCTCATGGCCATCCACGACCTCTTCCTGGCCGGCAACGACACCACGGCCACCACGCTGCGCTGGGCGTTCTGCTTCCTCTGCCAGCGGCCTGATGTGCAGCGCCGGCTGCAGGCCGAACTGGACGCGGAGGTGGGCCGCCAGCGGCCGCCGACGCTGGCCGACCGGCAGCGGCTGCCCTTCACCGAGGCCTTCATCTTGGAGACGCAGCGACTGGGTGACATCACGCCGCTGCTGGTGCCGCACCGGACCGTGGCGCCGGTCAGCGTGGGCGGCCGCCAGCTGCCGGCCGGCGTGCAGGTCGTCGGCGTCGGACAGGCCGTCCACCGCAGCGCGCGCTACTTCGCCGAGCCGCTCCAGTTCCGACCGGAGAGATTCATCGACTCTGACGGCAAGTTCCAGCCGGACAAGAACGTCATGCCGTTCTCTGTGGGCAAGCGGCAGTGTCTCGGCGAGAGCCTGGCGCGGAACGAGCTGTTCCTGTTCCTGGCGTGCATCCTGCAGAACTTCTCGTTCCGTTTCCCTGAGGGCTACCACCATCATCTGGAGCAGGATCCGGACAACGTGTTCATCCGCAGCCCAAAACCGTTCAAACTGATCCCGGAACGCCGCTGAGCTGAGAAATGTCGGTTCTGAGGAGTTTGCCTACTTTCTAGTGACCTAACGGGTTCTTGTGTCTCTTGGTGAGGTATTCTTGATCAGGGAAGTAAACATGCGTCTTGTACTTACGTATGGTGCATTGGCACTATCAGCTTTATCTTTTTTCTCATTGATGCATTTAGTCCCTTTCAACCACTAATTTCATTTATGAACTTTTTCACACTTTTTAGCAGTTAGAACTTAGAAGTAAGTCATGCAAACTGCAAAGCGTTTGCTATTTTGTATACATGGTGATAGGTAAAGCATGCGAATTAATGCGTGATCAGTGGTCACTTTCTGTAGACAGCCTGTCATTGATGCGTTTACATACTTATCTAGATGTATACATTTCTATGTTAATTTCTATGCATTATAGTGCCAGTTTATGCGTAATATACGTGGTGGACCTTCAATGAGAAGTGCTCAGGTCGATGTCCACGGCCCAAGATTACTTTGCCCATACGTTTCCCAGAACAGCTCGCTCAAAACACCTGTCGCTTCGGCACCAGGGAACTAAAAATCCCATCGTACCCCCGTCGGTGGTGTGCAGCGTGGGCGCCGCGGGCGTGGCCCAATTTCTATTGGTCGCCGCTCCCAATTTTCTCGTCTATCCTCAAAGCGAACTGATCGGTGTTCTGCTCGCTAGAAGCAGTATCTTTCAATTGTGCAACATGTTGACAACACTAGCCGTTTTCACGACTGGTTATCTGGCGAATGCACCAAACTTGACCAAATCTGCACCAAGTTTCTTTTTCAATAAATATCTTTATATTTTTTTCAGTTTTTTTTTTAATCGAAAATAAAGTCTGATATTTATATAAAAAAAAATCAGGTGTACAAGCGACTGTGCACTGTGCAACCCAAACTGATAACTTCTTAGAGGTTGTCAGTTTGGGTAACTTACTTCTAAGAAACATAATCAACCTAAATGCATCCAATCTGCACCAACTGTGAGCTAAATGTGCACCAGCTAGCCGGCGTGAAAAGGGTTACTAATGCTTTTTACTTTGCATAAACCCAGCGAGAAATCAAACGGACATCCGGATGCTCATAATATCGAAAGAAGAAGAAGAAAATATTTTAGAACATGGCCTATCAATTCAATGGCCTATCAATACGCTATCAATTCAATTCTTCAGTTCCCAACTACGCTATCAATACGCTATCAATTCCTTGTCATATACCTGGGATACAGGCAGTTGATACATTCCTCTCTGTTCCGGTTGGCAACCGTAGCGACCCCACCCACCACGTCACCGTGTGTCAGCGATTTGTGCAGGATTGGACAGCCCCACATCAGCACAGTAGGCGCTAAGCCAATGAACCATAGACGGTATCAAGGACGATATCAAAGTCATAAACAGAAGCGAAGTGAAGTCATCTCATCATAAATGGCTGAACGTATCTGAACGTGCTTCATGACCAGTCGGCCCTTCATAGCCGCAGTTCCCAACTGATATAGTGATCATGGGAGATCGGTGTTAGCCATCAGTTCAGTTGCTCAGTTGAAATCTCAAATCAGTTCTATACAACATGCAGTCTTGATCTTACCTACCATGTAATATGTTCGTTTTCTGATCACCCACGATATGAACGAGAGCTGTCCAGTGACACTTGAACGATAAACGACATTCGGGGCACCAATTACCTACACCAGTGCACCACGCGCTGTCAATAGGCTTGATGTTTTTTTTTTAAGCTGCTTCTGGCAACTATGTGTAGGGGCAATCATTTTTACTTAGCCTTTCGATTAGCAGACGCCTGAGTAAAGTTTTCTTTTACCCTCGCCGGCACAGGGGGGGGGGGGTTGATGCAACCCCCCTCTAAGGTTTTTTTTCGCGAATAACTCGCGTAAAAAGCGGCCGATCGCGACGAAACTTTTAGTACCCTCGCATTGATCAATTTTACACCTACCCTGAAAATTTATGACCCTGACCCCAATGACCTTTGACCTGTGACCTCTTTTCCGTGACCATGTTTGGCCGAAATCGCGATTCGGCGTATGTCGGCTCTCATTAGCCGCGCGTTTGCAAGCTTTTCGTGGTTTTAAACGTTCAAACATGTGATTTGATGTTGCTCCCATGCATAAGGGTAGGTGTCAAGGTCACCTGAAGGTCAGGTCAGGTCACTGACCTTTGGTGACCTCGGTTCACTTTTTCGAGTTTTACATGTTTCTATGCTAGTTTTTTTTAGCTGAATTCGAATTTAGCAACCATTGGAACATTTACGAAGTAGTTTTGGTGCCTTCGAAGCTGTCAGAGGCGGATGACAGGTACTACGAATGCCCGTCACGACCCCTACCGGTTGACCTGACCTGACCTGACCTGACCCGACCTGGTCTAGACGCTTAACGACATCATCTGTGATCAAAACTAACACGATATTCGTGATCAGCACCCCGAAAACCCCTTAGCAGCCACGCTTTACGTCTTTCTAACAGGTCCCGATATTCCCGATTTGTGGGTCATTGACCTGACCTGGAAGGTCAACTGGTGACATAGGACCTTAAAATTGGGTATCATTGGCTTCCTCTCGTGACGGGCAACACGCTCGTTTTTTTTCCGCGAAGCTCTAGCTCCATCAGGGGCCAAACGCGAGGGGGGGGGGGGGGGTCGTACCAACCTTGTGCCGTCGAAGGACTCAAAATGGCCTGTGCCGGTGAGGGTTGAAAGATTGTCAGTACCTACAAGATGAATTAGATATTCTTTCACTACACAATAGCCGTTTTCACGACGGCCATGTGGTACATACACATTGGGTGCACATCTGGTGCAGATCAGGTGCAGATTTGGTCAAATCAGGTTCAGTGTGTCTCTTAGTAGCTATCAGCTAGGGTTACAGTAATTGCTTAGGTATATGCCTGCTTTGTCGTATTATCAGAGAGCATCATCGATTAAAACACTGAAATAAATTGATAAAATGAAGATATTTGCTGTAAAAGATATAACGTTCAGATTTGGTCAACTCAGGTGCACTCGCAGGATAGACCGTCGTGAAAACGGCTATTGCCAATAGGGTTGGGACCTATCTGCATGCTCTGTATGTTTTGGTAAAATAAAAAAGCTCAGAATTTTTAATGATTTAATTTAAAATCACTTTGTTAAAAAAATGCCTAGTTAGTTCAGAAATTAATTATTTGTGGCTGAAAACAACTTGCTTCTGATTGGTCGGGCTAATCATGACGTCACATGTAGGTATATAACTGTCTGTATATTTGGCGCAGTTGAGACATACATTTTCTATGTATTTTCCTATGGTAAATCGGAGTGATTGGTCGTGTTTTCAGTGTCTCTTTATTTTGCGCTGGTATTGCGTAGCTAAGAAGTTTTATCAAGAATGGCATATACTAAAATGTTCCTTTAATAATGGAGCTTCAATATCTGTGAGTTTTATTGGCAAGCGAAAACTGATTTCGCTGTTATTTTATCTGGAAATTACTCATTTTTTTAGTTCAATATTCCAAATATTTTACGGGAACAAGTTGGCACTTTTCTTGATTTTTGCACTCAAATCGCGTGCGATTCAACTGTATTGGAACTTGCAAAGAAGCTTGGTGATAAATTAACTGTGTTGTTATGGTACTGTTTGCAAAGCATGGATAATGAAACTCTGCCAAAAACTTAGCTACATAGCAATGCCTCAAGTAATACGCAGGAGGGACAGAATTCAGAGTCCGATCGAGAAGAATCGGTGCAAATGCTACGAAGACCAGGCAGCTCTGATACAATAGCTAGTCGTCTCACTACTCTCACTCCATTAGACCAGCTGATTCCTGACAGCACCGACTCGGATGCAAAGATGGAGCTCATCTTCCAAGCCAGAAACCAGTTCTTTGATGGAAGATGTGATGCTGCCTCTGTCTCTGCTTTGTTGGCCACTTTGGACGGGGCGGAGCTCCGCTCCTTGCGTGAGCGGTTATTCGCCTGTCATCCAGAAATAGTTCCTTCGTTTGCTGGCCGTTCCCTGATTAGGTGCAATACGGGGAGCTGTAATCAGGGATGTAACTTTCCATATGAAAGGGGTGCAGGTGCACCCCCATCCCCCATCCACTAGAAGTGCACCCCCATAGGCTAAGCGGCGCCCCACACGCCGCCCCACACGATTAGCTCTAGAGCAGATGGCGAGGGTGATTTCCCGGCTACATTCCATCTCGGCGTCGTGATGCTTGTGGGCTTAGAAAGCGTCCAGTCGTATGTAGGGTAGTGTAGGGGTAGGGTTGAGTTCAATAAGGTCCTTACATTTGAAAGGTTTGAACAACCCGCAATCAGCACAACATACCACAAGTTAAATAAAAAACTACCAAACTCCGCCGAACTAATATTAATAAACACTACAGCCAAACTAATGGCCTAAATAAAAATATATCTCAAATCCTAACAGTTATCGCGGGTGATGGCGCCATGAGTTGCTATTATCCAAAACAGATGCAAATAAACATGTTTGTATGTCCTATGTATGTTTGTTTTAAAAACGTTGCAGCGGCGCTGGGAACTGCAGTCTTAGATCTGGGTATGTTTGGCATCTGCAACTCTTCATATACACATTAACCCTATTTCGGACGGGGAGGCCTTTCAGGATTTTCTTGTACAATTGCCAAACGCCGCGAGACATTCAGCTCATATTTGGTGACTTTTCCTGAACTGAAAGCTCATTGCGCACATCTCAGCAAAAAAAAAAAAAAATGCCGGGTCAGGTCAGGTCAGGTAACCAGAGCGGGTATGTTGACCCCACCTCAGAAAAGTTTGCAAACACGTCAGAGCTTGAGTTTTTCACGAAGTTATTTCCTCTCATCAAGTCTTCAAAACAGTACCTGCAGTATGTGTCGTTTGTATATCTCAGAATTTTTGATCTGTGACCTGAGGTTAGGTCAGAGTCGTGACCTTTACATTGCAAGCCTATGGAAAAGTATTGAAATGCGACCTGCACCTCGAGTAAACGAGTCAAAACCACCCAATTCTTTAAGAATTATGACAAATTATCTTATCTGTATTGATCCAGGTGCCATTTACTAACAGGGACACCCGGGAGGGTTATCTGAGCCGAGATCATGTGAGGTGATATCTACCATACATCAATGCTCACAATACTTACAATATTGACAATGCTTTTCCTTACAACACTTACAATACTTACGATGAGACCAGCAAGCACTCTGCCGTTACAGTTCTAACTTCTGTTTCGAAAACCGACGTTACACACATTCGCTGCCAGCATAACATGTATTGTTTGACAGTAACAAAATACAATTGACATCTGAACCCCAAACGGACCGCCATCCACTCAAATTTTATAACACTGACCGGTCAGGGGGCGAATGGAGGTCATCTCCTGGGCATTACACTCAGCCCTTGCACAAAATATCTCACCTCACAGTGATCATTACAACAATAGCACCGACTTGATAGTGGATTTCAAAGTACTTGCATCAGCTCTTCCTGCTATTGCAGACGATCATCTCCTCAGGGTAATGTTGTTCGGGACATGAACGAATATCGTTTTCGGAGTTTCATAAGTGCTACTGCAACAGCCTGGCACAAAACAGGACTTGTACACTCTTCTCTGCACTTTGCCCTTCAGTATATCACAAAAGAATTGTTTAGAATCCATCTTACGCTTCTTTCACAGTCTCCCTTGCCACCGTAGGGCGTAGATAGATTGCTGTTGCTGGTAAGTTAAGGCACGGTAGATAGAAATTACCTCGGTTCTCAACGCCTTAAGTTATTTTCATAAAAAAGAACAAATAAATGATCCAAGATTACTAGAACATATGATCAATAAGAAATGAAAGATAAAGAAGATAAAGAAGAAATGATCAATAAGATGACAGGAATGTAAACATTTTAATCGTAAAGTAGTCCAAATATTGGAATGAGCTGTTGCTTTTCAGCATCCTCCGATTCATCCTCTTTATCATTTGAAAATTCGAGGTACATAAAATGTTTATCACGCGCTCAATGTTAAGTGGGAATATAGTACACGGCAGACTGCACGGCAGACACATCAATTTTTGACACTGAACATTTCATCCGTAAATGTTTTAGCATAATTTAAAGTTAAAAACAGCGCGAATGGCAGAGTGAAACAAACAACATCTTTCACCCATTGATATAACATGTAATCTGTGGTGCGCCAGATGCGCCATTATTTGTCAACCGCAGAAGGTGACATGTGACGTAACAGCATCAAGAGCATCTTTTTTCAAGAACTTTTCAAAACAAGTTTCCTATCTTTCTTCCCCCATTTCTCTCAGCATATTGATTTTATGAGGCAATGGTATGCACCATAAATTCTGTGAAAATAGTTTGATCATTTTCATGCATTCTTAAAAAATCGAGTTCCCAACCCCATTCAATGGCGAACTTCGTTGGGAGCCACGTTGTGATGATATGGAGTGCGTGTTTTACATAGGTATTCATGACACTGTATACCGAAGTCTATCCCAGAGGCCTGATACTAATGACTACGTATAAACTATCAGACAGTCGCATATTTGATAGTATTTGACAAAAAAAAAGCAAAAAGATGCTCAACTAACTCTTTATAAACATATAAATAAACGTACTCACATTTTTTCACATTTTTCGATAAGATAGATTCTGCTGACCTGGCCCGCGGCTTATCACTCTGCCCATCAAAACATCCCATGTTCAGCCCAGCTTTATGACATCGAGGATCGACTTGAAAGTACATATAGGTAGCACAACACAGAATACGTGATCCAAGCTAGCCGTGGGCACTGCTTGTCTTTTGACCTAAAGAGATCAATGTAAATCACGGCCCCAAAGTTCCGGAAAAAACTTCAACTTAGATATTTTGAATACAAAAATAACCAAACATTCTTCTACTTTTCGGCTTTTGCTGTTTAATTTCCTTTCCATAGGTATCAGAAAAAAAAACCGGACACCATTTCATCAGGCTCGGACTCTACGGAAGGTGCAAACGCACTTCCACCGCCCCCCCCCCACCCGAATCCGCCAGTAGTGCACGTCAATTCTACCTACATGAACATATAAACCACTATAATTTCTCAGTCACAAGTCAGCGGAGAATATGAACTGTAGGGTGTGTAATGGGTGTACTGCAATCGACATGTTACCGTGCAAATGCGTGGGAGGAGAAACGAGCAGAGTTCAAAGGATGGGCGAAACGCCCACCTCCCTCTGATGTTCTGCGCAGACCGCCCCTACATCACAAATTGATAAAGAAACACTCATCACATCACACATATTTATTGATAAGTTTGCATTTCAACATAAATGAAATGTAATACCGTTTATTGTCGATAACCGGTGTGTTTATTGAAGTGCCTGCACATGTTCAAATATCACCTAAACATTCTCTATCCGACTAGAGCATCTTGTTCCTTCTTTTCAGAAGAAACCAAGTAAAACGGAACATGATCTGCTCAAAACGCAGCTAAAATGGCATCATCAAATTGCATAACCACGTGGCTATCATCGCGTTAGTTACAATTAATTCAACTTTAGGCAAAGACGCCAATAAAGGTAAAGTCTGCAACACATCTTTTGACGCCGAAACAGCCGAGATCGTTACACACTGTTGGTCTAGATGTATCCGGGGCCGGCGATACTGTTGCTGATGGGTTGCACAAACCGTGGGTAGCCGGCCATCAGGGGAGCCGGTGCGCCCGGGTAACCGCCCGGCTGCGGCGCCAGGCTGATCACCTGCGGGCCGCCGAAACCGCCCGGTGGACCGCCCGGCGGGGGTCCGCCCGGCGGGGGACCACCCGGCGGTCCGCCCGGTGGGGGTCCGCCCGGCGGGGGTCCTCCCGGCGGGGGCCCTCCCGGCGGGGGACCGCCGCCACCACCAGGAGGCGGGTTCAGGTATATCGGCACGTACTGCACCAGCGGAGCCGGTGCTCCTCCGCCACCCGGAGGTCCTCCACCTCCTGGCGGAGGTCCTCCACCGCCGCCGAACGGCGGACCGCCACCAAACGGCGGACCGCCTCCCCCACCATGCGGGGGAGGTCCTCCGCCCGGGGGAGGTCCGCCACCAGGGGGAGGTCCTCCGCCCGGGGGAGGTCCACCTCCAGGGGGAGGTCCGCCACCAGGGGGAGGCCCTCCGCCTCCCGGGGGAGGTCCTCCCCATGGGGGAGGTCCACCGCCCGGTGGATGTCCGCCTCCTGGAGGAGGCCCGCCTCCAGGAGGAGGTCCGCCTCCAGGAGGATGTCCGCCTCCAGGGGGAGGTCCGCCTCCAGGGGGAGGTCCGCCACCAGGAGGAGGTCCTCCGCCGCCTCCAGGAGGCGGTCCGCCTCCAGGGGGAGGCCCACCTCCAGGGGGATGTCCGCCTCCTGGGGGAGGTCCTCCACCGCCTCCAGGAGGCGGTCCACCTCCAGGGGGATGTCCGCCTCCCGGGGGAGGCCCTCCGCCACCAGGGGGATGTCCGCCTCCCGGGGGAGGCCCTCCGCCACCAGGTGGATGTCCGCCTCCCGGGGGAGGTCCACCTCCCGGAGGAGGTCCTCCACCTCCCGGGGGAGGTCCTCCACCTCCAGGGGGAGGCCCGCCTCCAGGGGGAGGCCCGCCTCCAGGGGGAGGTCCTCCGCCGCCTCCTGGAGGATGTCCTCCGCCGCCTCCTCCGGGCGGCATCATGATGGGCAGGATGATCATCTGAGGCGGTGGTGGAGGACCGCCTCCTCCGCCTCCGTGACCGCCTCCTCCGCCCCCTCCACCCATCTTCTTAATGAGAATAATTTGACGACCAGGAGCCCTGGAACGTAAACTTGGCTCAGTGCACCCAATAGTAAACAGCGACCGATTGTCGGTAATCTGTGTACCACGTCGTTCACATCGTTACATCACACCGTAGTTTCTTGTGAGCTCGCGGAGCGGACATTGACATTGACGATATTCATGCATGTGGCTGGGTAGAACTAAGAGCTCAAACGTCATTCGGAAAATAAGGTACCGCTAACCGCATAAGCAACTACCACAGCTCTGCTATATTTTTAAGTGCATTGCGATCTTCAAGTGACAAGAACTGCATGCCGTATGGAAGCAAGCATATTCTAAGATATGCTGCAGACTGGATGAAACTGATACACAGTTACACTGGCCTGGGATATGCGTGCAGTTCGCACGTGTTTCGTCGCTTACTCACCCTCCTGGAAGGATGAAGGCCGTCTGGCCGACCGCCGTCGCCAGACATGCCGTCAGCAGGACCTGGCAGAACAGGGTCACTCTGTCAGTATCACATGCACGGGATGTATGCCGAGGCCTGGAGCTTTCAGCTTGGTCTTGGTCAAGGCCCTATTGGAAGCGTAAGATTGTTTACTGGTAAGCTTTATATAGATATTGTTCGAGTATCTCTCGTTCCACTTATCTAGAGCTATCAATCGTAAGAGTTCGTTTTACGCGACACTACACTTGGTAGGTAAGTGCAGAAAAGACTGAGCGTAGGGGAGAGTGGGGCAAAGCGGCCACCCGGGGCAAAGCGGCCACCCGGGGCAAAGCGGCCACCCATCGTTTTAGCCCTTCATAGCTGGCGTCAGTTCCAATTTATGGTTTCCAATTATACTTCTCTTCACGGTCGTTCGAATGAGCCAGACCGGGGTTTCAGGCCCATCACCATTGTTCTGTGAAACACGGAAAAGCATTTCTTGCCAGGTTACCAACTATGTTTACAATTTTTAAATGTTATGTTATTCCATAACCGTTTGGAATTTTTATAAGCGTTCTTGTCCATGCATTGCATGGTTATCGTACATGTATTCTACCAATTTTAATGTTTTTCACCCCACTAATAGCTAAACTGGAATATTTTTGTCTCGGACGGTATGCGCGGGGCAAAGTGGCCGGGGCAAAGTGGCCACCCCCCAATTGGCCATAAGTTGCTTCCATCTGGATAAAAAACATTATTTATATTCAAATGTGTTGTCATGCATTCATCTTGGCCACTTTTCAGTTGCATGAATTACCAAATAATGCAATTAAAGTTTTTTTTCATGAAAATCCTTTCTTTGTTTACCCACAGATGGAAGATGATAAAGTAAACATCCATCCTCGCTTAACCTTGTCACCATCAAATACCCTAGTCGTACACGAGGCAACTATTTTGTTTCTCATATCGGGACTTAAGCAGACGCCGGTGGCCGCTTTGCCCCAGGGTATGGGGCAAAGTGGCCAATATGCATAGGTTTAAAGTTTTGTCAATATCTTTCATATGAGAACGCCTTTGGAAATAAAACGCAGTTGAAATAAAAGGCAACTTAATAGGGATCACATTGGTATAGAAAGAATCTTTCCAAGTTAAAAAATGAAGCGTTGGCATCGTGAGAAGCGTTAGGGTGGCCGCTTTGCCCCACTCTCCCCTATTTATAACCAAATAACCAAGCGAACGTGTTTATGACCAAACGTTTTAACACGTTTGTTAGGTTGCCGGTGTTTAAATAGTGTTTCGTTTCCGTGAACTAATAAAGCTAATTTGTCATGATGGTATGCCTGATTGGCCTAAAATTTCATGATGGTTAGAAGCACCGACTACGTAATAAACGTATCAAGCTCTGTTTGCCGCTCTAGAGGAAAACCATCAGACATAAAGCTTCACATATGCTGCTACCAAAATAAGTTTTAGGAAAAATTGGAGATAGGGTAATATCACAGTATGCCAAAAAGTGATGCGCGAGGCAACTAGAAGGAATTAAACAAAACCTGATGATGACATTACCAATATATCTGTCCGGTAACTTGCACAAAATATAACAAAAACCTCGCAGCAGTAGCACACACGCAATCATCGCTCCTCCTGAACGCAGACACTTCCGCAGCAGTTCAAGAGTCGCGCACACTGATTGTCTGCTCGGGGCTGGTCTGCTTTACTCACCAGTTGCTCCATGTTGGTGTTGGAGGGCCTACTGCGCCTCCCCGTCCACTGTCCGGTGCTTTATAGGCTGCCCACCGGTCCTGACGGCACAAAAATCACCGGTACACACCACTCCGGCCGCCGCGCCGGAGACGGTTTTCCCTACGC